CTATAGCTCTCTTCAGGCAGGTCCCTCCCCATCCTGTTCCGGACGCGTCCGTGAACACTGTGATGTAGGAGGTCACCCGTCCCAGTGGAGACCCCCTCCGGAGGTGGTCCGGAGACCCCCAAAACCGGAGGTTGCGCCCACTGAGGGAGGGAGGGATGGTCACCTGCCGTCGTTTGTACCTCCAAACGCAGGCTGGGGAACCACCTCTGCAGGCGGCGCATATGTAGTAACCGGCGGGACCACCATGTGAGCAGCCGCCATGAGACCCAGAGTCTGCATGACAGTTAAAGCTGTCACTGTTGCCCCCTGTCGCAGCCTGTGCACCGCCCTGAGAAGGGGCGCACGTCTGCTCTCTGACAGGGTGGCACGCAGCGCGTCTGCATCGAGCACCACACCCAAATACAACGCCTGTTGGCGAGGTATGGGGGTGCTCTTTCTTTCCCATCGATCGCAAAACCTAATTTGGTTAGGTGTGTGATCAACTGTGCTGTGCAAAACATTGCCTGTTCCCGGGACCCAGCCATGACTATGAGGTCGTCTATGTAAAAGAAGACTCTCATGCCGTGTGCGCGCAGCGGTTGAGGCGCTGTGGCCACACATTTGCTGAATGTGCGTGGGGATAGGGAATAACCGAACGGCAGCCTGTTGTATTCGTAGGCTATTCCCTGGAAGGCAAAACGCAGATACTTTCTGTGCTCTGGAACAATTTCCACATGAAAGTACGCGTCTTTCAGGTCGATGGTGGTGAACCAATCGCCTGGCTGCACAAGCCCCAGTAACTGTTTCACAGTTAACATGTGGAATTTCCTGCTGGAAATATGACGATTCAGGCCCCGGAGATCTAGAATAGGTCTGAATTCCCCTGTTTTCTTGAGAACCAGGAAATACATGGAATAAAGACCCTTCTCTCTGTGCTGAGGATGCACAACAGACACAGCCTGTTTCTGCACCAGAGCCTGAATCTCTGCTGAGAGGAAACCCATCTCCTCCTGGGAAGACAGATTTACCTCTCGCATGCCCATAAAAGGAGGTGGGATGCTGCAAACTGGAGTGAATAGCCCTGTTTCAGCGTCCTGTCCATCCACCTTGTCAGTACACAGCTGAGTTTCCATTCCCCATAACATTGTGTTAGGGGATGTGCAATCAGCTGCGAAGCCGCAGCTATGAAGCTGTGGTACTCTCTGGTGGCCCACTCCGCCGTCAAACCCTCCATAAAAGGAAGTTTGACCCATGGTGGGCTGACACAGAAAGGGCCGTTTTTCTATAATGCAGTTTCCTCTTAGAGAGAAAGAGGCATTAATCGGAGCTTCTTCTGTCCATGAACGCACCGCGGCCCGCTCTCGGGGGCCTCTTTACAAGTGCGGGCGTTGCTATAATGCAGCCCCTATCACTATAGTAAACAGTATTATTTGGAGTCTTAGCTTCAGGCATAGAATGTTTTCTAACAGAAAAACATCGGCCATAATGTCCCTGTGCCCGCACCGCACTATAACAGTGCTGCCTGCGGTTTATCACTCTCATCTGCGCACTCCCACTAGCCTCCTCCCTAACGGGAGCTATAGCTGGGGCGGCGAGTGGGGAATTTGTACAGTCATCAACATGTGCAAGTGTATTGTGGAAACAAAGGACACTCAGACTTGGATACAGATCAACACCATCTTTATTTAAAAAGTTTTGACAGGGATCTGGGCATTAAATAGGCAGATAACTCCTAACGCCTCTGTCGGGCAGCCCCTCCCCGTGATTGCCGGTATGCCGGTGCCACGGGGTGGGCCGTAGAGTGGAGGGCGCCGCAGCTACGGGACCCCCGTGCCGGCGCCTCTCCCTCCGCTTCACTGTCGCACTACGCTCCCTCCCCTGCATCCGCGAGGGGGGCGCGTAGCGGGGCCTGAGGAGGAGCCAGCGATAGCATGCGGCTAAGCTGGACTCTCTCCTCCTCTAGGCGGCTGAAGCGCTGGGTGACCGAGGAGACCGACCCAAAGAGCCCCTCCGTGGACACGGGGGCTCCGAGGAGATCTTCTCGATCCTTCTTAGATAGGGCCGTGAGCCCTGGCCACACGTGACGAGACGCCACTGTGGCCAGGGAAATCATCCGCCCTGCTGCGGTGGCCACGCCATAAATCAGATTACTCATCTGACTAACAGCGTGGTCCGAATAATCGCTCTCGTCCTGAGACGGGAGGGCGGGGCCGTCTGCCTGAGGGGTGATCAGGAAGACGCCAACACGCCAAGATTATCGGCCGCAGCCGCCATCTGCGTACCGAGCTTGAACAACTTATCCAGATATTCCAGGTGTCTCGGTCCCGGGGCAGCGGGGGCAGAGGACGTTTACCCTCCGCCCAACCAGCCGCGGAAGCAGATGGGCCGCCAGCCTCTCATCGAGGGGGGGGGGCACACCTGGACATGTCGTGTCCGAGCGATCCACCACCTTAACAATACCCGCCATGGCGGCTATCGGGGCCTTCGTTTTAAATGGCTGCTGCCATGTCGCCTCCACACACCGCCATACCTCTGGCAGCTGGGGCGAAACGAAGGTCGGCTGCGCCGGACGCACCGGGCCGTAAATCTCAGGAGGTTTACAGGCCTCGGTAGCAGCGGTGGGGGGAGCGGTAAGCCTTCACGCTCCGCCGCCAGAGTCATCACCGCCGGGAAATCGATCCGCGCAGACCTGAGAGTTGGACCTCCGGTCAGCGAAGCGTCCTCCTCGTCCCCCATCGGAAGAACCGGGAGACGTCACCTCGCTCCCCGAATCGCCTACGTCCACGACGTCGAGCTCCAGATCCACCGACTCCTCCTGCGGGGTAGCCCTCGCCAGGAAGTGCTGCCCACGATGCTCTTGTGTGAGCCGCGGGATCATCAGGCAGTCTGGGTATGTCAGCGTCGGGCCCATATTACCCACCACGTGGTCAGGCCCCAAGGACGTGAAGCAGAAGGGTAATTAGATTCGGGCATTTCGGGTAGGTCCTACACTTTACTCTCCTTTTCTCAATCGTCTCGAAGCTCGTGGAATCACTTCCGCTGCTGAAGAGAAAAAGGATGATAGTCAGGAGGCGAGGCCTCCTTTTATACGGTGTGATGCACGCGCATTCAGGTAGGCCCGCCCTCGGCCGGCTACGTCTATAGAAGTCTCAGTGGGAGAATGCACGCGGGATAAGGTAGTACCCATAGAGTCCAGTAGAGGGCGGAGCCTGTGAGAGATATAACGCCCTTTTATAAAACCTGTTTGATCAAGTTTTATTATATTCCCAATTACTATTTTGATTCTCCGTGCAATACATTTGGACAGAATGCGGGTATCGCAACAAAGTAGTGTCAGTGGTCTCCAATGCTTCATATGAACAGGATTCTTGTAATGCCCCTCTGGGTCTTGCTTCAGTAACAATGTGATGATGCCTTCTTTCTGTGTATCTGATCATATTCCTTGTGTAAAGGAGTAGTTAAAGGATGCCAATAGAGGTTTTTTAATGTTTGTGTAGAAGGTTTTATAAACTTCAACAGGCATACCGTCAATCCCTGGTGATTTACCAGGAGCGAAGGAATTAATAGCATCCAGTAACTCTTCTTCTAAAATGTTTCCTTCACAACTTATGGCGCGTTTCCACTACAGCCCGCAGCCCGGTTTAAGAGGGCTGTGACGTCAGCGGCCCGTCTTTGGTTGCGTTTCCACTTGGCCTAGTACCGGCCGGCGGGTCCTAATTCACAGTTTTTCTGGCCTCATAAAATCGTGGGGCCAGAGGCAACGAGGCTGAGTCGGGCTGAGTATGCTAAACTAGAGAGAGCGTCGCTGGCAAGGGGGCAACAACTACAACAAGATGGACATATTTGACCGTGATTTAATTGTAATACACGTTTCAAAATGATGCCGAAGTAACAACATACTGATACCGGTTAGTAAAAACCATGAATTAATGCTTTGTCAAGTCTGCAGACAGACGGCAGGGGAAAAACCTTTTAAAATGCTTGTTTTCTAAATGGAGATTGGCTAAGCTAACGCAGTATATGCCCCGACCGTCCACACTCACAACAACGGCCTATACAGACATAAATAAAGCAGCGACTGTATTCACCATGACACAGGCAGTCTGTGGTTTGTACTTGTTTAACTTTTGTCTAGTTTCTGAACATATATGAGGAGCTGTGAGCTCTGAGTGCTAACAGCTAACGGCTGTGTTGTTTTTCTGGGGTCCTCATTGAAGATCACGTCACGGCTCCGCCTACACTGCGTTACTATAGATACTGCCCCAGTTCCTAAACTGTAATGGAAATGCGCCATAAAGTGAGCCAGTCCTAACGAGGCCCAGCCATACCGAGCGGGGCCGAGCGAGGCCGTGTAGTGGAAACGCGACATCAGTTGCTGATCTACTGACAGTATCTGATCATAATTCTTTTGAAAAAATAACTCAATATTGGATCCTACAGGAGACTCTGGAGCCAGAGCATATAAGGTTTTAAAATAATCCACCTCTTCAGCTAATATTTCCTGTGGAGATGTAAGTAGAATACCATTTGGAGTATACAGGCTCATAATGGTTTTTTTGGAAGAATTTCTTTGGTTGAGTCTTAAAAAATGAGCCGTGCACTTTTCCCCTTTTTCCATCCATGTGGCACGGGATCTATAAATTATACCATTCACTCGCTCAGAGTATAAATGTTCCAGTTCTAGTTGTTTATTCTTTATCAAATAAGTTGTTTCTATGCATAACGATTGCTTTTCATCCAACGTTTTAGTCAATTCATTGACCTCCTCTATTAGACTCTTCTCCTTTATCAAATATTGTTTTTGTTTCCATGACCCCATCTTAACAGTGTGTCCTCTAAAAACACACTTAAAGGCTTCCCAGACGTTGTGAGGGTCCGATTAATTATTATTAATTTGAAAAAAATCTTTGATTAGTTCTTTAGTTTTTTCAATCAAATCCGTATCATTTAAAAGTGATAGGTTGAATTTCCAATACCCCCGCCCTCTGGGATATTCTGCTGTAATAATTTGCAGTGTTACGATGGCATGGTCAGATCTTAATCGGTCACCAATACTACATTTTAATACTTTGTGAACCAGGGAAAAGGTGATAAGAAAGTAGTCAATGCGACTAGCTTGTTGTCCCCTGCGCCACGTATACCTGCTTGAATTTGGATTTCTTTGTCTCCAAATATCCACTAAATCTAAGGATGCCTTGAGTCGTTGGATTTCATTTAAGGCCTGTGGGTGATTATTAAAATAATGAGTACCTGTACGATCCTTACTTATGTTTAACACCCTATTGAAATCTCCAACTATAATATTTTTTTTAGAGAGGAGATAACTTTATGGATCTCCTCAAAAAAGTTTGGATTATCATCACCATAGATATTAATGATATTTACGTGCAAGTCATCCACTGTCACCTCTAACATAATCCACCTTCCATCCTCATCAGTTTGTACAGAATGAACTAAGGCTGCCTTTACACGGGAACGTTTGCGTTTATGCACAGTATGCATTTTCAAAAAAGTCTTCCATTCACACGCATTCGTTTCATTTAACGTGTCTGTTCACACGAGACCGCTGAAAACGCTGTAGTACATATGCCGGGACTGTAAATGGCGCTGTACTTCCACACGAGACCGCTCGAAAGTGCTGGACACGCTGTAGTACATATGCCGGGACTGTAAGTGGCGCTGTAACTTCCGCCACGAAATACACCAAAAGCAGCGAAGAAGACCCCGGAGCATGGTTGCCATGGTTGCCCTTCTGTTTATGCCCCGCGGTGGATTTAGCAACATGTAGTAGTTCATGTAATTTTTCATGTCCACTTGTTGCTGATGATTGTGGTAGAGGAGCTGTAGATTTTGCACTAACATCTGTAGCATGGTCGAGCTGTAGATGTTGTACTAACATCTGTAGCATGGTCAGTAGCAGTAGCACTAGCAGTAGCTACTGACAGTAGCTACTGACCATGCTACAGCAGTGAGCAGCAGAGGTGGGGAGAGGCGGGACCCGTTATCGTTTGTGGGGTCCGTTTCTATCGTTTAGTTAAGGCCTCGTGTAAATGAAAGGGCTATACGCAAGAGAAACTATGCGGATACAACCCGTTTCGTTCTTGTGTAAAGGGGGTCTAAGTGTTGAATTTCTTTTTTAAACATAATCATAACACCCCTACTATTAGTAGTGCCATGACTGAAATAAATATCTCCACCCCATTCTGATTTCCATTTCAACTCGTTTTCCAAATTAGAATGCGTTTCCTGCACACAAATAATTGTAATATTGTTTTTATCTTTCAACCAAGTAAAAACTTCATTTCTTTTAGAGACATTAGCCAAGCCGTTACAGTTATAAGTTGCAATCGTAGTACTAGTACATGTCATGTATCATCTAAAATGAGTGATATAACTTCGTCAACCTTTTTTAAATACTTGATAAGGACCCAAACTGTAAACCTAAAAAACATATAACACCTACTGACGTACACATAAATCACAAAAACAATATAATATGCCTGTATTTCATTTGCCATGGAGTTAATTGGCATTTTTGCGGTCACAACCCCTTTCAATGTACTTTCTACATATACAGTATATATCGAAGAAGAAGAAGATGGGCTTAAACAAAGAGAATAATCCAGAAATGAAGCAGAAAACAAAAACAAACATTCCATGCCATAAAGGGTTTCTTGTCTAATAAGGAAAACATAAATAAAGCCTCTAACCAGGCTCATACGGTTATCCTTAATTAACGTAAGTAGGCAGACCTGCGAGAAAGACTAACCGCAGTTCTGAAACATAATAGCCGTTTCAACCGTGATCTGCATACTGTTTTCCCTCACATATGCCAAGGTTCTTCTCTGCCTCCTGTACCAGTTCAGTAATGCTCCGACTGCTCCGTTGTTTATTATCCACTTCCCATCGTTGTCGCTGCCCGGTGTCCCGTTCCATGCTCCGGGTATCTTGGTCACGCGGTGGGGGCACACCAACTACCAGACCCCGTTCTACGAGAGCCTTCCCCGCAGCTTTAGGATTCCCATATGTCTGTGTGGTCCCATCTTCGCTGAAAACGTTCAATGTTGCCGGGGCCAAGATGTGCGATTTGATATTTTTGGCCATTAGTTGGTCTCTGATAGGTCTGTACAAGGCTCTTTGTTGTCTTACTTTAAAGGTCATGATCAAAGAAGATTTGCATACCGCTATAAGTTACTTCCTTCTTTCCCCATGCAGCCTGTAGTATTTGCTTCTTGGTCTCAAAGTTTAGGAAAACAACAATAGTCTGTCTGGCACGATCCTTGACTTCTCTGTACTCCCGGTGCACTCTGGTGATGTTAAAATCTCCCGGTATTTTAAGCACCTCGTTGAATAGTTTCTTCAGAAAAGTTGACATATTCTCTCCTTCACTTTTCTCTGGTATGTTGAATATACACGCATTGTTTTGCCTGGTCTTATTTTCCAGGTAGTCATTGCATTCTTCCATCTCTGAGACTTTATTTACCAGATATTTAATTGATTGTTGGTGAAGTATTTCTGTGTCATGCATCTCCCTGCAGTATCAGATATGGTGAGACGATCACAGCCAAGATCCAGAAGACCTGTGAGTACTGAAATCAAACTATTGTACATTAAATCTGATCTTAAAATATATTTATAGTACAAGAATTATTATTATTGTTTTATTATTATTTTTCTCTGTCACCACCTCTCTCCATCAGGTGACTCCGATGTGGAACAGGAAGTGAAGACAGACAGAAAGGTGAGAGAGGAGCAGTTGTACAGAGTGAAGTATATTTATTTCACCACTGAATGAAATATAATTATTAGGGCTGTCAAGTTAAATGCACTAACGCTCGCAATTTATCTAGAAACCTAAACAATATCCCGCCCCAATGTGCTGTGATTGGCTGTTACTGTGATTGGCTGGTAATACTGTGCTGTGATTGGCTGGTACTGCTGTGACATGTTAACCCATTAATAACCCGTTTGAAATTGACAATGAACTCAGATGATCCAGACTCATTTGCATTTTTCAAATTGGTCTGAATATGTTGTGGAATTGTGGTTTGGTTTCATGAAGCTAGAACTTAACTTGATTTATATTAAAATAACTAACTTTGTTTGTTCCAGGCTCCTGAATCCTTCTCACCTGAACTCACAACTGAGTCTTCATACAGGTAATCCTATAACATGACCAAACATTATTTTAAAGTAAACACATGAAAAATATATATTCATTTAATTGTGTTTGATTTCATGTCTTTCACCTTGAGGTATTGCATCCAATCTCTTTCCAACAGACGTAAATAAAATAATGCCTCTGTGTGTAGGAAGGATTGTTTTCTTGTACCAGTCTAGATCCTCGCTGGACTAGACGTTTTGTTAATTTAAAGGGGACCTATCATGCAAAATGCACTTTTGTACGTCTTTTATACATGAATATGTGTCCCCCGGTGTTCCAGGGAACTCACCAAGTGAGTCACACAACCCTCTCTATTTTCCTCCATACCCAAATCTCTAAAAAAGGGGCTGCAACGGATCTGATAAAAACTGATCCAGATTTGAACACTGTCCTGACGTCAGGCAAGCACTGTAATTCTCTCCGGTTAGTCCACCAGCAGATGACAAACACCCACCTCTCCACCTCTTCCAAGGAACGAGGGGACCGTGCGGCAGAGTTTCAGTTAGGTTTTCTTTCTCCGGTCAAGATGTCCGTTAAAGTTTAAATCTTCCGGACAAAATTAGAAAAGTGCCGGTCAAAGGTCTTCTTTGTTATTTATTGAGCTTTAAAACAAATGAATAACGACTCTATATAATAATATAATAAAACACGGAGGACGGAGATCTATTTTTCTCCCCCTCTTCTGACTTGATCAGAGCACGCTCCCCTCTCCTGCAGGGGGGCGTGGTCAGCTGCAGCTCACAGAATCAGCCCCCTGCAAAAACAGGGCTGGAGAACAGCAAATAGAGCGAAATGAGGCATGGCTAAAATGCATGATCTGTTTGGTATTTTGAAAACAGAAACGTATAAATATACCTTATATAGGTATGGCCCTACAATATATCATTTAAATATAGCATGATAGGTCCACTTTAATGAAAATGTGTTTACACACATTGTGATGCATGTGGACACATCTTCAGTGATGTTCCTGTAATCATCAGGTGTTTCAGATCTTTCAACAAACCCTCCTCCAGGTCAGACTCCAGCTGGATGAACACCTGTCAGTCAGAACACAGGCCAGTGAAGGCTTGTTGTAGTAACTTGTCCCCTGTGTGTCTACAGGTTCAGGTGTCCTGGTCCAGGTGAGTTCCAGTGTGATTCAACTGGCCTGGTGTTCGTCATGGCTCAGGAGGCGGAGCTTCTGTACAGGACGGTCCCTTGGGAGGAGAGCCTCCTCCAATCACATGGCAAGAAGCCAGCAGGGCCGCTGTTCGACGTGAAGAGTTCTGATGAAGCTGCCGTCTGCCAGCTCCACCTGCCACACAGTGAGACAGAGGAAGGTAAAGACATCTAGTGTTAACAAATACACTTATATAATGATTAGCACTTTATACTATTCACTAGCGTTCAAGAGTTATAAAGCAGCTTTATTAAACTAGTTTAACAAATATAGCAACAGTATAATTCAGGCACCAAATCTGTTTCAAAAGAAGAATAATTAAATTATTAAAACATCCATTTACCGTAGTCGATGTGTTGCATGACATCATTATTGAAGCATACGATGCAATGCAGCTCTAAATACTGAGTTAGTTTTTCTTTGGGCCCTCTGCAGTCTCTGTAATATTAAAGAGATTTAAACTGTGATTGGTCAGTCCACAGCATGCTCAGCTGCTAACAGTGCTAACTCAACGCTAACTCTCTGTTACTGTTGTGATGCTAAGCTAGCAGTTTGATTCATTCTTACTTTGTTATTCATCTGTTGCTCTTTCTGCTCTTTACATTGTCTGTTGTTTTGTTTTGTGCATGGTTCAGCAAGACAGACAATGTAAAGAGCAGAAAGAGCAACAGATGAATAACAAAGTATGAATTAATCAAACTGCTAGCTTAGCATCACAACAGTAACAGAGAGTTAGCAACATTTATAAGTTAGACTTTCTACGCCCTAAAAGCTTTAGAAAACTCTTCACAGATCTAGAGAATCACTCAGACATGAGACCGGACACAGTTAAGCTGTTCTGACAGCAGATTACAAACATTTCAGCAGTCTTGTGAATAAAAAAGAATGAATAAAGTTTATGCATAACAGTAAATGCTCACATCCAGAAAGATCACAGGGGGCGGAACAATAATGAAACATTAGAATAAAAGGTGGAGGATATAAACTGGTACATCCTAGTGAGGCTCCAAAGTGAATGACATTAGATGAACATTAGCTCTGAACTAAAGTGGTGAGACATTGAATATGATGAAGCTGTTTCAGCAGCAATGCAACAGATGACCAGCTCTTTGCTCCACAGTGCTGCTCCTGGACGGCCTGTTGTCTGTCGTCCACATCACTGATGAAGGCCTGAGCATCTTGGAGCCGCTGGAGGTCACACGCACTCACGTGGTGGTGAAGGTGCCTCACCTCTCTCTCTTTGGCCTGGTCTGGAATATCATTAAAAGGGTTCTGCTTCTGCGAGTAGAGGGCAAGATTCTGGTGTTCCTACGACCCCCGGTCAGCGAGGAGCAAACACTGGATGTACATCTGCTGCAGAAAAACGTCCCTAAGAAGGAGGTAAGGCCATGTGCTCACCATCAGACTAAATACTGGTTTAAACCACAGCTGTTTCCACACACACTGCTCTTCTTCTCAAACCTTCTCGTGCTGGGAGAAGAATAAGATCTATCTGAACTGTAAATCTTCAGATTGCTCTTTGTGGTTTTGTATGATTCTCTCTCAGCATGTCTTTCTGTCTGCGGAAACTGATGGCATTAATGTTAAACACATCACACAGAGCTGAAAGACCTGCTGAGATGAATCACTGCCAAGACAACGTGATCTCATCCCTACCAGCCACATTTTACAGCTTGGGCAGCAGCCTTTTGTGTTGTGTAACTGACACAGACGGTTTGTGTTCTGGTTAATGTTGGAATAGCTTCTTCAATAGCTTATCTCAAAGAATTAAAATAATCTAATTTTAATATTCCTTTACAAAGGCAATATATACTTATAATTATGTTGTGATTGATTGTATATCTCATCACTTTGTGGAGCAGGTCTTTCAACGTTTGTTGTTGTTTAATGTGATCTTTAAATAAAGTTGCCTTGACTATCTGAGCATAACTAAAGTTACTCTGTTACTGAAGGTTGCTGATCAACACAAACCTGCTGTGAACATCACAATCTCCACCGACTGTGAGCTGGAACTGTACAAAGGTTACAGTGTGCACTGTGAACCTGAGGGCTTCTACATTCAGCCTAAGGTGAGTCACTGATACTCCTCTAAAGAAACACAATGATCATTAACACACATGTATCTGCATGTGGATCCACGATCAGGAAAGAAACAGATAAACTTTTAACTTCTGCTTCTGGTTTTCAGAGTAAAAGATTTGTATCAAGTTTTGGACCAGATTACGATCCGACATTTCAAGTTTCCCTGACGACGAGCACAAAGAGAGTGGATTTGAAGCTCAAGGACCTAGGTGGAAATGAAGTCTGGAGTTATCGCGTGTCACTGGAAGGTAAAGACTCCACCTGAGCTCAGACCCAGTGATAGACTGATAACTCTAAAGCTCCATCTCATAGCCTTCTCTATTAAGGCTCCATGGCAGCGCATCATTACAACATTAAAAACACAATCTGTAATGTTCTAAAACTATAGTAAAAACTAGAGTGGTGTGGTGGTGAAACAGCGTGGCATCATGGGAGTTGTAGTCTTCAGCTTCTCATGCTTAAGTGGATTACAGCATTACAGGAGACCGTGATGAACGTACTGTTACCTTTAAGATGACACGTCTCTCTGAACTTTTTGGGATAATCTATGTACACAACTCAACCAAGTCTAAATAATACAGGTGTAGGAGTTTTTATACATTTGAATGAGGAAATGTTACATATTATAACTTTAAGTGAACAGAAATCCACCTCTGGGATTGTCGAGTTACTTTAATTTTTAAGAGATCTGTTTAATGTGATTGTTGGTTAACTAAAGTATTTTCCCCGTTTATCTACCAGGCCCAAGGCATGCATTGTCCCAGAAAAATGTCCCAGCAGAGAGCAGAGTCTCAGCAGAGAGCAGAGTCTCAGCAGAGAGCAGAGTCCCAGCAGAGAGCAGAGTCCCAGCAGAGAGCAGAGTCCCAGCAGAGAGCAGAGTCTCAGCAGAGAGCAGAGTCTCAGCAGAGAGCAGAGTCCCTGCAGAGAGCAGAGTCCCAGTAGAGAGCAGAGTCCCAGCAGAGAGCAGAGTCCCAGCAGAGAGCAGAGTCCCAGCAGAGAGCAGAGTCCCAGCAGAGAGCAGAGTCCCAGTAGAGAGCAGAGTCCCAGCAGAGAGCAGAGTCCCAGCAGAGAGCAGAGTCCCAGCAGAGAGCAGAGTCTCAGCAGAGAGCAGAGTCTCAGCAGAGAGCAGAGTCCCTGCAGAGAGCAGAATCCCAGCAGAGAGCAGAGTCCCTGCAGAGAGCAGAGTCCCAGCAGAGAGCAGAGTCTCAGCAGAGAGCAGAGTCCCAGCTGACCAGAGGCTGCTTTCAGTTCGGACAGAGTTCATTCAACGAGTGTCTCCAACTGTCCTGAACGACCTTCTGGATAAACTCTTTGAGTCTGAAGTGATCAGTGAATCTGAAATGACGTCAGCCAGAACCAAACCCAAAAATGACGGAGCACGAGAGGTGGTGGACGCGGTGCGAAATAAAGGAGCTGCAGCCAGCAGGGTTCTGATCAATGCTCTCCGAGAGCTGGACCCGTATCTTTACAGTTACCTCAACTTGAGCTGAGGCAAAACCTCGTGGAGTGTGTGTGACAGTTGAAGTCTAGTCCTCTGTTTTGTTACCTGTACATTTTTCCCCTTGTCCTTGAAGGTAACACAGATTCTGAGCGAAGGCTACTTTCCTTCTCTCTTTTGTCCTGGACTCCCTCCTGAGAGCAGCTACCCGTATTGGCCTTCCTTTGGTGTATATATATATATATTAGGGCTGTCAGTCGAATATTTAATCACGATTAATCGCATGATTGTCCATAGTTAATCGCGATTAATCGCAAATGAATCGCACATTTTTTATCTGTTCTAAATGTACCTTAGAGGAATATTTTTCAAGTTTTTAATTCTAACCGGACGCGATGCGAATATTCGCTTCGCTCTAATCGCTCCTATCGCATCGCTCTAAACGCTGGAGTTTCACCGCGGCTGCCAGCTGTGTTTACTCGCATCATTCAAACAAGACGCGCTGGCTCGGGAGCTGCAACTACAACAAATGAACATATTTTACGGTGATTAAATTGTAATACACGTTTCTAAATGATGCCGAAGTAACAACATACTGATACCGGTTAGTAACAACCATGAATTAATGCTTTGACAAGTCTGCAGACAAGACGGCAGGCGAAAAACCTTTTAAAATGCTTGTTTTCTGAATGAAGATCGGGTCGACCAGGCTAAGCTAACGTTGTACAGTATATGCTCATTCCACACTCATAACAACGGCCTACAGACATAAATAAGCAGCGACTGTATTCACCATGACACAGATAGTCTGTGGTTTGTACTTGTTTAACTTTTGTCCAGTTTCTAAACGGATATGAGGAGCTGTGAGCTCTGTGTGCTAACTGCTAACAGCTAACGGCTGATGTTGTGTGGTTGAACGTCAGTGACGGCGGCTGAGATCCTCACCGCTGATTGGCTTCCGCGAGAACGCGTCACGTGAATTTAACGCTCGAGTTGAAAAAATTGAACTCTCGCGTTTAACGCGGCACCGTTCAATCGCCTCAATCGCGTGATTCGCGCCGCGTCCACCGCTTCATGCGCGCCGTCGGAGCGAATTCGCGTCTGTCCGCGTCTCTGCATTGACTTTACATGTAATCGCGCCGCCCCCAAACATCGCATCGCGTCCGGTGTGAACGCAGCATTATCAACGTATGAGTGGACAAATATGCTTTATGCAAATGTTTGTTTATTATCATTGGAACAATGACAAATATTCTCCTGAATATTCTCAACACAACAACCTGGAAACTCTCTCTCTCTCTTCACTCTCTCCCAACCGTCTACTTCTTTGCACTGAGCCAGTTCCTCAAATAGACAAGCCTGTTTACAGTTGTCAGCGAAATGCCACCATTAAACTGTCATATTCTGCACATTTCTTATACTATCTACATACATCTTATAAGAGTAATACATATGTATAATATCAGTTAAAATAAGTGCTTCAACATAGTTAACATTGCTGGAGGTATAAACACATATTGATAGATGTCTTGTAATGCACTGTTGAGGAACCTGTGACCCAAGTTTTTCATTCATTGCATAACTACACCGTAGTTGTGTATAATATGATATGTCAATAAACCTTAGAAAATCTTGAAATCTTGAAAGGGATGTGCAAAATAGTCATTATATACAGTCTTTAATTAACTATTAGTAGAGAATAACGAGTAATGAATATACTTTATAGGGATCCTATTAATATCTAATAATACAAATAATAAAATTCAATAACGTGCTTTAACCAGTAGGTGTCCCTTTCTATCAGCTGTGCACCGTTATGGTGTAAATACAGCCTATCTACCAATTGGATCAAATATAAAAGTCAGCCGAATTAGTGTTGATACTGCAAGGAGAAGTATTGTGTGAAAATAAATCTAAAGTTAACTGTTTAACTGCTGATATATTTATGATCGGGGAGGCGTGTGGCGCAGTGGAATAGTGCGTTGGTGTTCGGATCAGGGGAGAACAGGTTCAAACCCCACTGCAGTCAGCATGTCGTTGTGTCCCTGGGCAAGACACTTCACCCCAAATTGCTCCTGTGGGGATTGCCCACAGTATTGAGTATGTAAGTCGCTTTGGATAAAAGCGTCTAACAAGTGACATGTAATGTAATGTAATGTAATGATCCACGTCACGTTTTCAGTTTTGGCGGCAGTTCTTCCTGTTTTCAGATAATAAACACCATTTCCCAACGTGCATTGGGGCTAAACTGTCTGTGATGCCCCTGTGGGACCATCATTAGAGAGGGTGTGGCTGTCCTGTCTGTGCTGTGTTGATTGCAGTAACTCAGGGCAGCTATTTAAAGCCTCTCTGCTCCTCTCTGTGGTCTCTCTGCTTTTCCCTGCAGGCCTCCGGTGTTGTTGAGTATATGCTGTTGTTACTTTAGTTGCTTTACTTTGTGCACCTCAACACCCTCACACATACATGTCCATGCAACCCTCACCCTGCATTTACACTACTGATACCACTGACGTCCACACCTCATGCTTTACTTATTGTTGCACTTCATTTGATTTGGCTAATTGGAATTGTTTGGTTAAATAAACATATTTTAGTAACCGTTGACATGGTGTGTCTCCTCTTTGTTGTGGCCTTTTGAGCCGGGTCGTAACACCGTCCAATCACCGAGCTGAGGATCTTGCATACGTCTGTTTCCGGTGTTTATGACGATGTGATGTGAGATGTGAGACTGGGTTGGAGAATTGCACAGGGGAAGATAACGTATCTATGACGCGGATTTTGTTAAACTAATACGTTTGCGCTGTGGACCAACACTATCAATTGACGGGGAAGGGGGTAGCAATAAAGATAACACCATTAAACAGTTACACAACATAACAGACATAATATCGATAGCAGCGTCCCTAGCAACCACCTTGGTAACAATGAAAACGTTGTATTTACACAATTTCCTGAAGTATTCTTCGTAATAACTAGCAAACTAAAGATCATGTACATCCACTGCACACATAATCTGAAATAACAACTCATATTTCTCGCATCAAATGACATCAAAACGCATTTTAATGGCCAAACTAACCTTAAAATAGGCATCTTTTACCGAGAATAAAACGGTCGGCCATGTTTTTTTATTTCTGCGGACAGAAAGTTGTAGATCACGTGACATAGACGCCTGCCATTGGAAATGAATGGTGAAAAAAACCGTAGGGATCCTACAATTTCAGAGGCGTTTTTGTAGAAATACTACGTCCCAAGTTGTGGACCAACGTAGTTATTACACGTTTAGATGTGAGACTGGGTTGAAATAGTGGCTCTGGAGCAGCCTTCCTCGACATTGAGAAACACCCGCTCTCTCATTCTCCTGTGAGCTGCATGGATGGCAGTGGATGATCTGTGCAGCAGTGTAGTGTTTTGTTGTTGTCTACGTGGGACGTGCAACTTGTAGAAGTTCTGAGTAGTGTTATGGTTTACTGTGGTCGCTTTCTGTTATGAGAAAGTTGTTTTGTTTTGTCGTAAGTTTGCAAATTAGCTGGTGAGCCACTTTTTCTTTTATTAATTAAAAGACCATCTTGTGGCTTCACAAATCAGTTTCCTCTCCTTTTTTCTCTCTCCCGGTTATTTTACATGTTGCTACTTCCCTTACAGTTAAAGGTGGGGTAGGTAAGTTTGAGAAACCGGCTCGAGATACACTTTTTGTTATATTCCATGGAATGCTCTTAACATCCCGATAGCAATGAATATCTTAAGTGCTTTGACCAAAAATCCATAAAGAAATGTCATCTGGAAGCCGTAATACTGTAAAAAGCACGACCAATCATCTGAGCCGGCCCGGCTAAAATAACTGGATGGCCTACCTGCCTGTCAGCCTTCCATCTGTGCACAAACTTATCTCGTGCCCTCATTGGTCATGTGCGCGTTCGTGTGTGTTGGAGGAGGGGCTCTGTAAGGAAGTGGCAGATTTTTTCCGGTTGTGTATTTTCTAATTCTAGCGCACTCGAGCCGGTTTCACCAAAATTACCTACCCCACCTTTAAGTAACTTTAAAATAAGAAATTAATTAAATGAACATATATACATATTTGGGTCATATATACATGTATGTGTGCCTGTAATGTGACATGATCTTAGTTTTAATTAGGAAAGGTTGCAGAATAGGTGATGTTTTATGTGAAACTAAATGAGGATGAAATACTCTTTGAAGAAACTTCTTACATCTGTTATGCATTTTTTACAATGCAATTACAATGTTACATTTTGTTCTTGTATATAACATATTCTATTTACTTGTATATATGTAGACTTCTTTGGGTTTAGGTCATAACATTTTAATTGCCATCTCTACACTGTGTGCATGACATTAAAACCTTTGGATCTTGAATCTTTGAATGCCTCTTTAATCTTATACATTCACATTGTGTGCCCACGTTTCCATATTAATTAACAGAGAATTACATGACTGCGAAGTGTTTTAAAAGGTTTTTCACCGAGAATGAGACATTTATCAAGTGACTCACTCCTACTAAGAGCAAAGTTTGAGAGTAACCTTTTTTTTTTAAAAGCTCACGAGCAATCACATATAAGGCTATTAACAACATTGTTCATTATAACATTGCAAAAAAAAGGACATCAATTCTAGTAATTCAATATTTGCCTTTTTATTTTTATGTGAAGTTAATTGCAGTGACTCGTAGGGATATTATTCTGCCTATGTGAACATTTGAATAATGTCTTCTGTGCTTCTGTGGAAGATAACCTTGATGATTAAAACTGAAATCATATGATATATTGGAGAAAAATAGATCCGACTGAAGTAGGTCTGCTGTTTCTATAGGATAGCAACACAAATAAATCATAAAAGGGCCATATTGTCAAGGAAACTGCAAACAGGAAACACAGTATTAAGCTTTATTCTCTTTAAAGGGTCCCTAGGATGCTCATTTTCATGTGTATATCACTATGTACAGTAGTGTCTCTACTTTAAACAGTCCTCTCCTGCTGATGTTCAGGTGTATATCAGTATGTAGTGTCTCTACTTTAAACAGTCCTCTCCTGC